GGGTCCAAGGGTGGCGACGACGGGTTTAGACGAGCGGTCGGAGTCCTTGCAGCAGCTCCCTCGTCTTCGCACCGTCCCGTCGACTCCGCTTTCTGTCATCAGGAAGCTCATTGAAGCACCATTGTGTGGCAAGGCTTACCACCTTATCGACTTTACGTAATTTTTAACTCATACATCTTGTTATTCATTTGATAATTTATGCCTTTTGGTCATCGCCAGGAATGTTGTCTGGTTATCTTAGTGCACCATGAAACACTCTTTTCAGGTGATTGTTTTCGTAGTTGTAGTATTTTATTGCGTAATACTGGGCATTGTTCAATCCAACGATGTTCACTACCACTACGTACCGCCTCGTCTATATTTTGATGACCTTGCCGAAAGCACGTCACACATTTTGCGTTTGTAAGTTTCAACGAATCAGACAATTTTTCGAAGCAAACTAGGGTTTTTCTGGTCCCATGACCAAGAAATTCATCTACAAGAGCTATTTTCAGGATAGGCTCGTTGGCCAATTACTTCCTCGGCGTCACGAATCTCATCGCTTATTCGATTATATTTGCATATCTTTACTGGCGCAAAACTCTCTCCTTCAGCCGGAACGACGAATTGAGGATGACCACACAAGTTGTTTCCTTGTTTCTCATATATTTGCTCCCGCTTTCAAACGTACCCTCCGTATCAGAAGCGCGTCGAGTGCAGACCACACACCACAAGTGACGACGGCCTCCAAGTAAATCTGGTTAGTAGTGGTTCATAGTGATAGCTGATTTTGGTAAATGATAGTTGTAATTAGTGACAACTGATAGAATACAACTGCAACAGGCTAATCATTTCATTGGCAGAAAACATTTACATTTTGTGGAGGCCGTCGTCACTTGTGGTGTGTGGTCTGCACTCGACGCGCTTCTGGTTTTCTGAAACAGGAGGTATGTGAAATCATATTGCCTGCATTTTAAGTGAAGAGAGTGCATAGGAAATGGCTTTATAATTCAACTAGATCGGCAAGAGATTTTGTTTTTTATATCATCTGCGGAAATTTCTAGGTTGCCCTGTTCGTGATTATCGAGTGCATCTTTTTTGTGTACTGGGAATTTGTCGAGAAAACACATCTGATCACCACGGCGTCTGCACTGCTGACATCTTCGATTATAAAATTGGTATTTTATGACTCTATAATATTTCCTTATTTGCTTATCAACAAGTGAGCTTTACAGAATTATTTTATTTTTTATA